TAACATGATGTAAGGCCACATGGCAACACGTTGCATTACTGTTATGTAGTTTTGTTTTTATGCAATTAGTAAACAATTTTTGGGTTTTTTAATGCACAATACAGACAAACCAATATAACCACGTGAACTCGTTCCACTACTGTACGACTTTACGAGTTGTAGGAACAACAAACGTTGTTGGGACACACACACAAAAAGCCTTCTCAAACCGTCCATTGTTCTCATAAATGCATATTTCAGAGAAACCACAGCTAATTTGTCACCATGGAAGAAAACACAGACAAGCTAACAACAGACTTTTCCTGTTCTTTCCAACTGTGCTGAATCAATGCTATTTGCCAAGCGCAAACTTTTTCGCTCATACGAATCTTCCTCACACAGGAAGGTCATTTAAGTCTATGTCTTTGTCCCATTCAATTGAGCAACAAGTGCTCTGAGGTAGCTTACAGACTGGATGGATTTAAAGTTTGCAGTGAAAGAACGAGTGAAAGAACAGATTGGTTTTGAAATTTCCTCCATTTCAGAGCAATTTTTCATGTAAAGAGAGTGTATGCACTGTACCTCGGAATCGGTCTGACAAGGGATGGCTCCGACCGGATCTTTCATGAACTGTCTCGCCACAGACAGGCTGTCTATCAACATGCTGACTTTACTCTGCGACTGGGCGCATCGGAACATGCTGGTATTGGAAGAAATGATAACTATCAGATGATCAATATCTGATTGAAGTATTTACCACGAGCATTATGAAAATCACAGGCTACAAAAAGAACACATTTGCCCAAATTCCAGAAAATGCTGCCTGGCACCAAATCAACAGAAGAGAATTTACCTAATGGATACCAAATGTTCAGGAAATGTTTATGAATCAAACCGTACAGCTGTCAATCGCAAGTCAATCATAGGTATAGAGTTTCTAGCGATAAGTAACGGAATTAACTACAAAGAAATGTTCACACTTCATTCCGACAACTGGAGATGTGGCTTAAGATTGGATGACTCGTGAGGTTTTACGAGGGCTTGATGAAAACACAGGTGTCTGCTATGATGACATCACTGTTCCACATGAATATGTATCTTTCCATGAAGTCGACTGGGTACTGGGGTCAGTCAAGTACACTGAAATCTTATTTTTGCAACTCTTTCAGTTCTCCAAGAAATATCTCTCAGGGCATTTTGATGTTACTCAGTATATCTCTCAGAAAAAAAGAACTTGCTCCGAAAGTAACAGGAATATTGAACCATTTTCAACAACTTCGGTTAAAAGTTAGATGTGTTGGGACCAGTTTAATAAACGTGTAACCCGAGAATTTAATTAATTCTTAGTGGTATTCCAAGACACTTGCAATGGACACCAAATTTCAAATGTGTAGCACTTAGGCCACGAAACAGATTTACAACCAATGCGATAAATAACTATTCAGTTACTCAGAGGAACTCCTCACACTATGCCCATTGAGGAGTTCAAATGTCATAAATTTGTTATCCGGCTTCATGGAATGACCCATAAGTAAATCACATCAAAAGAAGAGCCAGACAGGCCCACACACATTTAGAAATAGCGAAACAAAGACCAAAACTGGTGGCGATTTGGACATTTAACTTCAACTCAAAGATTCCAAAAGGTTTCAATGCAAGTGCATGTATCAAGCAGTCCGGATATCAGTCACAAATGTTAAAATGGTCACTGTAGCTACACCATAAATGTTCTACCTTTCTGTTGGAATAATCTCTGGGGCCTGCTTTCTGGATCCATTGCTGGTGTACTTTTCTAAGTCGCTGCCTTTCTCTATCTTGAGTTGCAGGAGTTTCATGGCTACTCTGGCATCTTCTATCGAGTCATGACCTGACTCTTTGGCTTGGATCGTTACACTAGAATGAGGATGGAATATACCTGTAAGAGATGCAACTTGGCCAATCCCATCAAACCATGAATCAGGTTGTGACAGTTGACGATCTCTGTCAAAGGACACCTTTGTCATTGTTATTTACACAGCTTGTCACTTGACGAGCCATTGGACAACTTGTGCTGGATCCGCAATGACTTGAAGACTTGTATTGTGATGAAATATAAACATTAAATACTAGCAATGTAGGACAGGATAAAAGGTTGTAATAATGAAAGTTGGGTGAGGACCAGTATTTGTGGTCTCAAGAAAGGAACATTCAGTTGCCACATAGGTAGGCAGCAAGTGGGGCTAAAATAGGGGGAAAAAAGGGCTGTTAATATAACAGTTTGGTAAGTTGGTAACAGTTGGTAAGTATCTTAAAAAATAACGTCCGTCTAAATCTTACTTAGTCATTTTACAACTTTTGTAAATTTAAGCGATTTGAACTAGGCCTCTCAAAATTATTTCCATTTCAAATTGATTAATAGTTGGTGCTTCTCTGTCTTACCCCAAGTATTTCCAAGCCAGTTTACGAAGTGCTACTCGGTAGGTACCAGTGAAGAGATTACTTGTGTCTGCTACATGAGGATGGAATAACTGAAAAACACAAAGGTACAAAGATATGAAATGTAAACCATGCTTATCTGCCCGGAGTGAAACCAGGAGAGGGCGCTATTCTCCTAGCAACAAAGGCTCCTTTGGTGGTTGGAGATGGATTTTGTTGGTTCATGAATGACTATGAAATGCATGCACTACTGTCATGTTTTTCAACCAATGAGGGGGTGCTTTATGATAATAATAATTTATCTTTATATAGCGCTTTTCATAGCAGAAGTTATATCAAAACGCTTTACAAAACAAAATACTATTACTACAAGAAAAACCAACAAAAGATACTTAACCAATGAAGAAAACTCCTGCTGGAAAGAAATCCATTCCATTAAATCAATCATAGTAGAAAAGAATATAAACAAACCAAAGTAGAAAATATCAAAATAATTTTTCAAAAAAGGAAGCATTAAGTTGTCTTTTAAAGGTATCAAAACAGGGTTCAGAACACAAGGAGACCGGAAGAAAATTCCAGAAGAGTTGAGCATGACTAGAAAAGGCTTTGTCACCATAAGCCTTCGTTTTGCCTCTCTTATCTTGCAGGTTTTGTGAGGCAGAGAGGAGGGGTCTGGTACATACCTAAGGAGAAATAAGGTCAGACAAGTATTCGGGCACGTAATCTGGGAGGGATTTGTAGCTTAACAGGATGATTTTGTACTGAATGGGGAATTTAACAGGTAGCCAATGTAACTGCCTCAAGATTGCAGTAATGTGTTCATGTTTATGGAACCAGGTAATGAGACGAGCAGCAGAGTTCTGTATCCGTTGAAGCTTCAACATCCTTCTACTCAAGATGTTTATGGTCTAAGTTGGTAATTGGTTATTCAAGAATTTTTGTTTTTAAAAATGGCAATTTCACAATAGAAACTCACCAAACGGGACATACCAACCACTTTAAATATAAAAAACAAGTTCCACTTATTACTAGAAGGGAGAAAAAAGTATTCTTTTTCCTCACCCTTAATGCCCTGAGGTCATTTTCTAATGACTGTCCCACCAATATGACATCTTTGGGCAGCAGAGCTATGATATCTTTCTGTACATCTTCAAGTCTCACTGTTACTGGGTCTAGGAGTTCCTTTGTAATACCGCTATACCTGAGAACATCAACCAAATGCTGAGGTTAATGAAAATTGCTCGGTTGACATGACAACGAACCGTGGCCTGGCCAAGAGAAAACTAGTTAGCATATCCTGGCGTTAACAATTTTTTAATGTAATTTGTTAATTTTTGTAACGTCCTCTGAAACACCAGAAAACAAGCAGATGTATCTGAGCTTCAAATTCCAGTGCAGTTTATTTCAGAATACTTTTAAGACCCTGAATTTTTATACAACTCTCCTTATCTATTGAAAATGTTACTTTATAGTTGGTAGCCCCCATCATGCATTTTTTAAAAATCCTACGTTTGATGCAACAACCTCTCAAGGCACACAAATTTCCAATGCACTTACATCCTCTGGTAACATTGTTATGCAGCTATGAGTTACATGTAAGTAAAACTTCCTAGAAGGTGCTTTTCACATTTCAGTTAATTGTTGAACACAACGATATGGAAAAGACTGACTGCAGTGAACAAACACAACTTAACTCTCCAACTTTGGAATCAGATGCAAGGGTTATGTCAAAAACATTCCTGTCATGTTAATAGTCACAGCCCATGTTGATCTAACCCACCCTCTGTTTTTTATTTATTGAAATTACAGGTGGTTAGCCCGAACTATAACCTCCGGAGTTAAATTTACCTTGTGACGTAGTCAATGATGGGGTTATGAGGCTTGACCAGGCTGTTGTATAACACAGTGTACTGCTCATCAACCAGAGAGACTCGCGTCAGCTCATTTCCTTTTTTCGTTACACACTGTAAAATGGCAAGGAGGTGAAAACATGATTTTGTCACAAAGAACACAGAGTATGATTATAAGTGTTAGCTATTATAGTCGTTGAAATCATTCACAAGACCAGTCATAAAACCAGATGCAAGACCAGTCACAAGTAACAAGATGAACAATGACAAAGGAATGCTTTTGTTACAGTTCATCCCAATAGCTTGTGACTTAAATTTAGACTGGAGATATCGTGATGGTCTTGTGATGGTCTAACAGACCTTATTCATGGAGAAGCCATCTTAGAAACAATCTTATTCCCTGAATCTATCATATTCAATGTAATCTGTCAAATGGAGTGGTGCCAGACTATATTGGGTACCAAAACTCACTTTCAGTTATTTTAAATCTGTAATTTGTTACAAATTTTAAATTGTTCTAAACTATTTTAATTGGTTGTTGTTATTTTCACTGTCAGGTACCCACAATGAAAAGCTTTGCCTCACTTTCAATTCAAGATGGCCAATACATGAATACAGTCTACTGAAGTATGACATTTACTGAGATTTGTACGAGAGTGCAACACTGATAACATGATAACTTAGAGAGAAAGGGTCCAACTTTCAGGCCCTGAAGCTGTCAGTGTTTACGATCATTAAACATTGCTGTCAAACTGTCTGCAATCGGTGTCTCATTGCTCACCATTTCACAATCCACACTGACGATGGGGCTCTTGTCACTGACTGTGTCACTGTGTTCGGTGTGGGTATACTCTGGGTCATCTGCCTGAGGGTACCTCCACTTGGCCTTCTCTTCGTCATTCAGTAGATAGTGGGTGCGGCCGTGCGCGGTCGAGGGTGTGGTTCTGGCTGGCAATGCCACGGCACTGGGTGTGACAACTGCTGTTGAAGATTTTAAACACAGCGGCTTTGCTTTCCATTCAAAAACAATGTTTTTTGTCAGGTGTTGCTGTAAGCAAAGCCAAACTTGCAAGCAACTCCATGACTGTAAACCTGATCTGTGCCTGCATTTTGGTAAGTCCCAGCACCATATACAGGTATGTTTGTGTGTATGACCGGCATGAAGCCTGGTCCCTTCCACAGTCATGACTTCTTACATGAACATTGCCAGATTAGCCCACTGGCCCTGGGCTGCACCTTCACTGACAAAGAAGGCCCAGTACCATGCTGTCATAACAACATGAAGGGTCCACAAGAACATTCAGTGCACCCATCCTTCGGTTAGGGGACATTCGGTGTTGTGATTTTGGGTAATTGATACAACTGGCCCATATGTACGGCGGCCTGCCTCACGAATGTATCTGCATGTGGAGTTGTTGCCAACACTCTCAACTTACAGGCAAAAATCAAGTTCAAAACAAGTCACACTGAATTCTGTGCATTTTGTTGAATAAAATTGTTTTCCTTCCAAATTTCACCTTTTGGGTTGTCAAACCACCCAGTAAAATTAAGTTTTCATCAAAGCTATCGCACAAAATCAAATGCAAGTGACATCTTACCAGTCTGGCCTCCTTTAGACGTCTGGCCTTCAATTTTCGCATGATAAGCTCTCTTCTTCAGCTGCTTATTGCTGATTGCAACTTGTAGGAGTTGATTCAGAATTGACTGCTGTGGCTGCGATGGAGGATGGAGAATCTGTCCCATCTGAAGACAGGAGAAAACAAAAGGTACCGTAGGACAGTCAGTATCACCGCAAAATCCAATTACTTTTAAGATTTTCCTGGGAGAAGCCATCATTGACAAGAAAGTGGATCCAATGTGGAGTAGCTTGCAGTAACACTATGGTGGAAATATCTCTTTTGTGAGTGGGTGACGTTCTGAAAAGAGGCGCATGCAACGTTTTGGGATATTTCCAACACGGAGTTACAGCTAGCTACTCCACGTTACTTCCTCCACAATACGAATCTCCAAATCTCAAAATAACTTCTGTCAGCTGTTATTAGGAGGCCCTCTCTCATGCATCAGTGAATATCCAGAACGGATGCATCTACAAATGCATCAGAACACTGCAAGCCTTACAAATATTCCATTGGCACATTCGGCAGCAAAAGATATTGGTGAAAAGGAATCCTTGTGAAATTTCATACAAAGTAGAAAAATCCAGTGACCCTCACTGTTGGCTGGGATGTTACATTTTTGCCTCACAGTGGAAGCTCAAAAAAGGAGGAAACAATTGTTCAGGCCTGGAACAATATGTCCTTGAAAAGTGAAAAAAATTATGAACACGACAGAAAGATATGGAGGCAAGTTCAGACCATTTTTGGACTCAAGTATGAAGTGAATTTGTCAGGGAAATGGTAAAATTATAAAAAACAATCAGTTCACAATCTTTCTGACCAAGAGTACTCCCTCAGAGACAGTCTGGTGGGAAAAATGTCAACTTTGCGCTTGGTGCACATGAGTGGAAACCGCATGTTTCAACAGATATTAATTGCACATGCTCAGTACCTCTTGCACCAAGCGCGCATGAACCTGCACGATAACGATGTTCATTAGTTTGTGTGTAAAGCATTCACAGACCCTAGTAAGCAGGAGGTTGTGGGTTCAAGTTCCACCCAAGTAACCTTGTGAATTTTTGGGCACAATCTGTTATGAACGGAATAACTACGTGCTTGGCCGTTGAAGACTGGCTCAGGAGAATGGATGCTACTCATGTCCAAGCTGCTGGCAAGGGCATTATCAGCATTCAGTCTCCTGGCCGGCAAAGCATATATTTATTCCCATTCATAAATTCCTTTTTTAGTCAGGGAGTCAAAAGAAGTCAATGTATGACAGATTTCCAATGATTTTGTTGTAGAATGTTATTTTCATTTTCCTAAACACCCTGTCCATTTTATTTTATAGTTGTCCAAAAGAATCTCCTTATATGAACACAGGCTCTTGACCAATTCAAATCAATTATACTGTCTTGTGTCCAGGCGCCAGCGCGTGATGTACACAGTGGGCATTACTGCTTCTTAGCGAGCAGTACCAAATGTTAATACAAGGCCAAGTGGCATGTTATTGAATAGGAAACTCTCTGAGGTATTTATGAATAAAAATCGACATCTCCAAGACACAAAGTACATCTTTTATTTTGTCTTACCAGGTCATATTTTCCATTGAGATGGGGGAACCATTCTCTATTCTCCTGGTAGCAAGCATCTGTCACTCCATTTAGGACGACAACCATGACTTTGGATACCAGCAATGGCCTCACCAACTTGCAGAATCTACCAAAGAAAAGACCAAAATCTGTCAACATCCACAGAGTGGATGTGAACAATGCGTCCAACTTAACGCCTGATGTCAGACAAGCAGCCCGAGGAATATGAAAGCTTTCATGTCAAGTAAGCTTTCCCCACATCCTCAAAATCTTTCAGAGAGAAAAAAACTTCCAAAAGTCTGCATTAAAATGTGCAATAATTATTTGTGGCTTGATCTGGAAAAATACAAGGGTATATTATGTTGCAAACATGAAAAAATGAGTTTTTGCACGGCTGGGAAAAACCCAGTGTAAACTTTCGTTTTGCAGACGGTAGACACCCACTGCCTTTTCTGCTCTGGAAATGAATTTTTTACCATACATTTATACTTCTATGGAGTCCAACTTAATACAACTGAAAAACAGGTTTTGAAAACAGTTGAGTCTTATCTTTTGCAGACTTAGGCTTTGAAAAATATCATATTAATCTTCCTTACAATCAATAAGATCCTTTCAAACATTTTTGTTCATAAAACCTGAAACTGTAGAGATCGAAGATGTCATTTCTGAAAAATACCTTATCATTGAACTTCCATGAGAAAATTTACCCTCTTGACATGAGCGGACTATTTTAAGGAAAGGAATAATTCGACTTTATATCACATTTCCCTGGACAAGGTCATATTTGGTCTCACAAGAATCAACAAGTTTCCAAACTGTATCACATGGGAAACAGGACCAAATGTTTAGCAGCATTTTCCAACCTGATTTTGTTGACGTTGGCAGCATTGCCCATCACGGAATACTGAATGAAATCTTGAAGGTCTTTCATTTCAACTGGTTTGAAAGTCATCCTTGGATCTTCGTCATTAGTGAAATTGTCAATGAGGAACATCTTGGGTTGTTGCTAGGTGGGAAAAAAAATAAAACAAAGTTGCTATGGCAACTCATAAAAAAACCCAAGTGTGAATTCAAAATTTCAGGAGTTTCTAAACTGTGTTGGTCCATGGCTCCTTGAGGGCAACTTTCATACCTGTATTCAGATGTAGCAAGGGTTACTGTTAAAACAGACAATATCAGAAGTCCAATTTTGGGGAATGGGAGAACAACCCCTAAATACCTGTATTATTTTGTAACACATACAGTGCTGCGATGCAGGAACAAAAAATATGTACCGAGGAAATTGATTTCCAACAATGACGAGACTTGCAAACCCAATCAGCAGTCCTCAGTGTATCAGGTAGGGTTTGCTGTTGGGATAGTTAGAGGTGGAAGGTGCAGAAAACATTCTTTGCTTTGCACGGGAAGAAGAGGGGGCATATTTTTGCACAGAAACTCACTGCTGGCATACACAGGTTCAAAAGGGCTTGGTGCTGGCTACGTCAACACACGTAACTAATTTCTTTGGGAAGGTACAATCTTTGTGTAGGCGTGGGGCATGTGCTTGAGCCTGGTTGAAACATTTCCAACCAGTCTGTCCCTTCTCTGGTGGTGAGGAAGTGCTTGTCAGAATTTGTACCGTTCATCAGTGACAAATGCTGATGTGGGATATAACAAACGCCACGTCGCTGTCTAGTCAGACGTATCCCCATACTGTGGTTTGGGTACTAGCACAGTGACATTCATTCATCTTTTCATTTCTTAAATCAATTATTTTTACGTCAACTTGTACTGCGCCGTTGATCATTTTTATGGAAACGACGCAGTGTAAATGTTCAATTATTATTAATACATTAGAGCCTCTGTGGATTTGAACAAATTCAGACTATGCATACACTGCTCCATGCATGTTGCTAGTCAAACCCACAGGATGCAGCTGCTGACAGAGCGCCCTCTCCTGTCCATGCTCAGACTCTGTACCACTCCACCAGCCCTGGAGGCATAATTTGTTTTCTTAGGAGAATTAGGGGTAATTATAACAAAGTGGGCGTATATCTGAAGCATTGTGCATGCGTTTTCGTAGGAAGGCTGGGGGCAATTACCACAACATATGAGGTGGGCAAACTTTTAAGCGAAACATACAGCGAGGCAAGGGTTCCAGTCTACATGCTTGCAAAGTTGTATTTTTTCTTGGGGGATTAGTTGGTAAGAGGATATTTTTGTAATACGAAAATAACACCCGAAATTGACCTTCTAACTCAGGTTTCTAAGTGTCTACTAATTTGATCAAGCTTACAGTTAACCACACCCATACATGATAACTGCCCCTGACCCTCCCACTGTGGACATCATCCTTTACCATTCGCAGTTTCTTCAGTGACGTCCTGTCTTGCCACTCTTGTTTCAGCTTCTGTTTAGTTTCTTCATCTGTGTCGCTGCTGTCACCAGCTTTGCATCCATCTCCAGGTCTCTCGGCAGAATTGTTTTCTCTCGCAGATTTCTCCTTTTCTCCATTTTCATTTTTCTCTTCCAATATTTCACTTTCCTCATCTACCAGCACTTCTCCCTGCAATAACAAATCAAGTGGTGTAATCTGGAGGCTGTACCTCTTTTTAATTAATGCGAGCATCACAAGCAGGCTTTTCCATTTTGTGTCCAGGAAACTTCATCATCATTGCATGTAAGCAATGACTATTCATGAGTATTGTTGTTTATCAAGATTAAGAGCAAAGGATACTGTTCTTACAAGGTCATCTGAGCTTTTTCAAAAAAAATTTCCATGCAAAACATGCAAGAATGACAGAAGTGGAATTTTAAGAGGAAACCAAACTTTATAAAAAGCGTACAAGATAAAAGTAGCCAAGAAGAAAAACTGCGCATACCCCCCTGGTTGGAATTTCCAACACAAATACCAACTGTTTTGGTGTGAGGTCCAAAAATGTGGACCAGGAATGCCAAGCGTTGATACATTAAAAAGTCACTTGAAACACTTTGATTCTCCACAGGAAAAATTATCATAACCTTCTCACCTTATCTTGTTTCCGTTTCTTTTTCTTCTTAGGGACGACCACCGTTTCTTCACCTTGAACTTCATTAACATCTTCACTGACAGTTGTTTCTTCAGTCTGTAGATACAAAAAATTAATACAAACTAGAAAATGTGCTGCAAACTGCTAACTGGCCGAATGACCTGAAATATACAAAACTCAGAGATTTGAGGGCCGAATGTTTTGTCCTATAGATAAAATATGGTGCAAAGTTTAAAAAGCTCTCAAGCACATAAATCTGCCACTCAAGGGTAACATCTGCTTAACAAAAGCAGGTTACCAACCAAACGATTATACATCCTACATCTCTTGACTGGTTCACGGCTAGCTCCCAAATAGCTCATCAATTTCCCAAACGATATGTATTTACACAGAAGGTCAATGAAGCTGGGCCCGGCTCATTTAAATCAAGTCATGAAGCGAAGTGACTCCTCAATTTCTTTAAGATGCTTCTAAGGACGAGAGATGCATGGGGGGCAGTTTTGAGTTTAAACTGTATCACCTTCTCTTTCTCTTTCCGTTTCCTCTTTTTGAAAGTTTGGACATCTTCTGAGATCACTTCAGGTGTTTCATCGACAGCTTCCACTAGTTCTAACTGAAAGAATAGCAAAATATTATTTGCATCACTGAATGCCTTTTGAGAAATAGGAATAACATTAAAATGTCACTAATATGCGCAGAATTCCAAACAGGAAAATGAAGCTGGTGGCTGAAATTCACAACGTACCTCCTTCTTGTGTTTGTGCTTTTTCCTTTTCTCTTGGTGATATTGATTCACGGCAGCTTCTTGTTCTATTTCAAGATTTGATGTAGACATTTCAATCTGGAAAAGAAATTTAAAACTACTAATTTATTGAAATTGAAGCAGATCCACACACCAAGGTAATCTTACAATGACGCTTCTCATTAACTACGTACAAATTTTAACAGAAACGTTGAATATGCCGTTTTTTCCCAATAACATTTCTTATAACACAGCCTTTATTTTGTCATGCTTATCCCGTAACCTCCCAGATCCTTCAAAATCTACAAGGAAGCTTTAGAGGTTGGAAATATGTTCTACAATTTGTGACAGGTTCCTGGCACCATTGGTTGAGTGCTTGTTGCATAGCCCTTGCTCTTTCTATTTAAAATGATGACCAGAAACCCAGAGCCATGTAACAGTCGCTGGGCTACAGGTTCCAGAGTCCATCAAAATACTACAATCCCAGTTGTTGGATATTCGCTGATATGAGACAGTGATGCTCTTAAAACATTACTTCTTCTGTGACCCCTCACCTTTTCTTTTTGTTTGTGAGATTTCTTTTTGGTATGTTTTTCTCCTTCATTATCAACATCTTGGGTTTCGCTTCTGCTATTTCTTGAGAACTGAAAACAGGACAAAGGTCAAGAATTACATTCCAATCAGCTGCATTTATTACAAGCAAAGTTAGATCAAACAAACAATGGAAAAAGTAAGAAAATAATAACCAACCAAGGCAACCAAAAACTTTCAATTACCTCTTTCTCTTTCTTGTGCTTCTTCCTCTTCTCCTTGTGATGATGTTCTTGGGTTTCCTCACTTTCTACAAAGCGATCGTTATTTTGGATTGTCGACTCTTGTGTGTCAACTTTCTTATAGGGAAATAAAAAGTACAAACACTGTGTTTGAGATGTTTAAGTATTTAAGTTACTGGATAAGCCTATGGAACAACACCTCAGATTTAACAACACAGTGGAATAGCGTTTGAATACACATGGACTTCAGAGAAAGGAATTTCAACAAGGTCAAAGTTTAAGAATATACAGGATGGCCAATTACAACAAAATTACAAATTACAACAAAATTACAACTGACAAGTGCAGAGCTGTGGCCAATTGTATTTCTTTCTTTCTTCTTTACCCTGGGGAGACCTGTCAGTGTCAAATCACTGTTTTCCATAGGTGCCCAGCAATTACAATCATTAACAAATTCATTGATCAAATTTATCAATCCAATCAATTCATCATGACCAGACAGATTAAAGGAATTCCCTTTTAAAGTTGTTTTGAAGAACACATTTAGAAACTGCCAAAATCAACCTATTGACACACAGATTCAGGCGTAAGACAGTTGGAGGTTTGCTGCTGAAGGTCACAGTGCCGTGAGACAGCCTGTATGACCAATCATCTTAGACCAGGTTTTGCCCTTACACCCTTGTACTCTCATTACAGTCTGAGAGCAGTGGTATGAGGATTTGAAACCACGACTTTCTGCTCCCTGAAGTAGACGTCTTAAGCACTTGCTGCCGGGTGGAGTTTTCTTGAGCAAGACAAGATGCCGGGTCCCTTTTAAGATTTTCTGTTTTCAAAATTCTTCAAAAATTCATCATTTCACTAAATGGCTGTTTATACCCACATGAAGGATTCTTTGGGCACTACTCTAAACCTGACAGGTATCCTTCATTAACTCCTGAATATTTCAGCCAGGTCTGCAGCCTTGGAAAAAAGGCCCATAATTGTGCGGTGTTACATAAGATTCTCTTGTTCCCGAAACCGACCCAGCGCACTGCTGACCTCTTTTCAATAGGGGCCAGATTAGTGTGCAGCAGTGCTGTGTGGCTCATCACTGCGGTGGTGGAGAGCTTTTGTCCCCGGTGGTAATCCGCTCGCTCTTAATGCCTCAAACCATGGTCAAGTAGTTACTGGTCCCCCAGTCTGCACTGGCAAGCAAAAGTCATAGGTTCGAAGCCCAATCAAGCATGCTCATTATTTTCTTCAACTCTAAGGCCACGCAAAGAATATAGGGTTACTATATACCTCATTGTAACAGCAAACCTGGTATAAAATTTACATCTTTGACCCAAAGCTAAAATTAATATTACTGGCATATTTGTTTGTCAGAATATTACTTTTATTTGCTAACTTCTGAGGTGAACCCTTACCTTGTTTTTGTGTTGGTGAGATTTCTTTTTGTGACATATTGCTCCTTCATTATCAATTTCTTGGGTTTTGCTGGTGATATTTTCTGAGGACTGAAAACAGAGCCAATAACAATTACATTCTCTTTCAAATACGTCTCATGAACAATAACAGCCTATTGCTACTGTAGAGTTTTCATCTAGAAGGTTAAATCAAGAAGGACAAGGTGACCAGCTGTGGCAAAGCACAGGTGATAGTCTGTCTTTTTTTGCATATCTTTCAGTAAAAGAAAACTGCTGTGAAGCACACAGCTGCAAAAAATTTGTCCCAAGTTGAACACTGGAATAGAAACAAAGACAACTAGAGGTCACAGTCCAAACTACCTCTGTCTTATGTTTGTGCTTCTTTCTTTTCTCCTTGCGATGGTCTTCAAGTTCCAAGGAGTGGTCATCATATTGGGTAGTTGACTCCGAGGTTTCTGCTTCCTTGAAGACATTGAGTAAGGAAGTAACAACCATGAAGTATTGGAGATGGGATAACGAAGTCTTGGACATCAGATAAAACCTGGACACACCTGAGAACAAATCTAGCAATAGCTACAAACATATCCTGACAAATCCCATACCAGAATAAATTACTGCATCTAAATGCAGAAAGACTTCAGAATTTGAATGACAATGCGGATAAGAATATTCACTTTACCAGCGATTAAACTTCTTATTTTCACCATGTAGCAGGGGCGTTCTATAAATTCAGGGTCCCTGTTACACCTGACCTGTGTAATTTGACATGGAAATATCACTGAAATTGACTTCAAAGTATTTGTATTTGGCAGTAAATTTACATTAATTCATCACTCTTAGAAATTAGAGAATGTGTTCTGAACTTACAAATCACATGTCAGACGTGACGGGGACACGAAACAAATTGGACCCCAATTTATAGAATGACCCAGCTAGACTGTGCCTTGGGGGAAGCATGGCAGAAATTTGCTCAGATGCCGAATGAATCAACTGTCTTATTTAAATTAGCCAATTCATGGTGATCAGTGTACCAAAATATGACTATCAATGTGACCTTCTCACCTTTTCTTTGTGTCTGTGAGATTTCTGTTCAGTAAGATTTTCTCCTTCACTATCAACACTTTGGGTTTTGCTGGGGATATTTTCTGAGGGCTGAAAAACAGAACCAGAACCAATGCTTTTAATTACATTCAAGATCAGATGCATCTAATTAGCAAGAAATAATAGCTTCTTGTTATCGGTCAGTTTTTAGCCAGACACTGACTTTCTGAAGCACAGGCTGACTGTGTTGGCAAGGCAGAAGTGATTTTAAATCAGGTTTTTTTTTGCACACACCTTTCAGCTCAAGGAAACCTACGTCAAATATAAAGCTAAAATATAACCCTCAAAGTGAACAATGAGAAACATTTTCAAATTACCTTTTTTTTATGTTTGTGCTTTTTCTTTTTCTCCTTGTGATGGTCTTCAAGTTCCAAGGGGCAGTCATCATATTGCGAAATCGACTCTGACCTTGCTATATCCTTTAAAATAGAAAGTGAAACAGTAAAAACCAAAATGCATTGACGATGAAGCAATTTAAATTAGATTTCTGTTTAGAATACAATTTCCCCAAACAGCTCTGTAGAAAATTGGTCTATAATTTCCAAACACAGAGCTCCAACTAAACCAATCACCCCCGTCACTCCAGTTCAAGGTGGATAAATCTTACACACATGCACAATCAGCCATCTCAGTCAGTTTTCTTGACCCCGTCCTGTCTGTCTACTCATTTTATTGTCTTTTTACCTTCCTTTTGTGTTTGTGCTTTTTCCTCTTCATTTTGTGATTTTCTGTAGGCACAGTGGGCTGATCAAGAATACCCCTGGATGATTCTAAGTCCGGAGTCTAGACAGAGAGGATGTTTTTCTTTATCAGTATCATTGATTGGAAAATGTGTAATTCTGGCACCAGAAAATTCCAACAGCAAATACATTTGGACACAACATGCTACAAACGCGACTGTTGGAAATAACAATGGTTGATCTTCAATATGACTACCAAGTACTAATTGTAGTCTGAAAACCCAACAAAACACAGAAACATGTCAACACTAAAACATGTTTCAAGTTAGAATTTCTTTAAACAATATACATTCACAAAAAGTCCTGCACAAATGACCCTGGTCAAATCATTTTTGTAAAATTTTCACCCACATTTCTGTTGTCATAGTTACTACCATTGACCATACCTACATGTAATTCTTCTGTTTGCTTTGGTGGATAGTTATGACATGGCATTATCAATAAAAGACAATGCAATCATACCCTGTGGGCCTGCTCCAAAGCATCGACCAAAACAGTCCAGTATTGCAGTATACATGCATTTTATACTTGAACTAAGAAAGCCTGTTCGATTTGAGGAGTTTACACAAAGTGGGATTTGTTTCAACTGCTGAAGTTTCACTCTGAGTTGCCAGTGAATTACTGATTATACAAGTATAAAATCTCCAGTTCCTCATCCTTGGCAAGGGTTTTGTGTTTTGGTCTAACCTTATCTCTGTGCTTTCGTTTCTTCTTCTTGGTATTTGGTGTATCTTCAGCGATAACTTGGTCTTCAGGAGTTTGTCCATTAACTTCCATTTCCACATGCTGAAATTGAAATCATATTTACAGCTTAGGAAAAGCACTCAAGAAGTTTCGTTTTTCTTTATTTGATGATACTGTATTTTGGCCTTACAAAATACAAAATTAAGAATTCAAGTAAAGACAGTTGAAAATGGTACATCATTTAATCTGTATAAAAGTTTGTCACAACTCAAGACCTCAATACAAACACAGAAAGCTGAAGTTTAGAGNTAATTTGGATTTTTTTCTCTTTTACAAATCCAGCTAAACGGTAAAAGAAGATGTACAAAATAAATGCTACAAAAATCTGACCTGAAAATAAAACACTCTGAATGGAAGCAACTTTCCAAGTTCAAAATACAGCATAAACTCACTGAAAGAAATTTAAAAAGATGAAAAGGGAAACCTTTTTATGAGACTTCTTTTTCTTCCTGGGGCTTTCAGCAGTTTGTTGGGGACTGTCTGTCCTTTCCTTGTGTTGAATGATGGCCTCTTCATCAATCTGGTACAATGCAAGATATTGTTTTCAGCTACATCTCATTGAAAACCATGGTGAGAAATTACATTCTGATGATTAAAATTTGAACCAATTTTACTTCACAAAGTGCTTTTGCTTGCTTGACTTATCACACTATTTGTGTATTCCTCAATCTAGGAAGAAAAATATCAAAATTATTACCAGATAAGGAATACTGAGTGGACTTCTCAGCAGTATAACTACAGTTAATGTGGATTTAATATTTAATCAGAATTTAAGAACAATGTTTAAAATGATTTTTTACAAATAACATTTCGACTGCTAATTGGTGATATTGTTACTACTGCCAACAAGTTACTGTGAATTACTTTGGTTATTTGCTGATATCATAAATTATTTGCCAAATTTAGGGAACTGCTTAAATGTGCATTATTAAGTCTTTTACTGTGGGACTGGGGTAAAATTTGTACAGGTACGTTTCATCAGAGTTTTTTTCAGAGAAGGGAGATGGGATCTTGTTTTCACTGTGTGACTATCCTTGTTGTATGACTTGTAAGTTGATACCATCAGGATGTGCTTCATGTGCTGCGTTGTGTAGCTGTGACCGAAAATAGTCAATCCAAAATGTGGAGCAAGCTTGGCCATTGGCTCGATGCATATGCAGTGTGATAAGTACAAATGGCATGATCGTCATCGGTGGAAATGAGAGAGATTGGTGAGTGAAACTCACAGATTTTTCAAAAACTACTCAGTCTCATGGTCAAAACCTTCAGGACACCTTTTTCAAAAGCTGCATGTACATGTATACAGTACCGAAGTGGTGTGTCATGGAGAATCAATAAATGCTGTAAAAATGAATGGAGTATGCTCGCGCATGGTCCACACGCTGGTTGCCATGCTAATGCCTTTTACACACATACAGTACCTGCACATGTGACATATTCACTTCGATACTCTACGTGTACATGTACCTCACAGGTGCTTTCATGGGAAAATTTGAGTGAAAAATGGAGTTTGCGTTACTGGATCAAAAGCTCGATTAAAAAACACATGGTGTTACAACCCCACGTAAACAACTGTCTCACCAAGTCACACGGAGTAACGACTTGAAGTTCTTCAAGTAAGGAACAACCAGACTATGTTGTACTCTGACACTTTCCTCAGTCCAACCCATTCATGTGTCATATCATCCTTTTCTTTCTTTTAGGGAAAGAGAGTACCTAGCACCTTGTAGTTGTAACCTCCAAATGGTCCTCTAGGGACTATTAGAAGTACAGGGAATAATAAGAGCGCCCTCTCATGCCCATATGTGCATCCACCGCCTGAAAGCTACCGGTACTTTGGATTTCCCCCATTCTGCATGTTCTGCATAGCCAACGCCTGAGATATACATGTACCTTCTTTGACTGCATAGCCATTGACTTCTAAGCCTTTGAGGGGTAGGCCCATGGCGCTGTTTTCAAAGTTGTGAGATATTCTGTTTCGGTAGTAGACCATGAAAATAGAAGTTGTAGATTTGCGTCTACTGCCCACGTCCCGACACTACTGCCCCCAAGAATCATTATTTACAAAAGTTTCATTATTTGTAAGAGAAAGACACAAATTACAAAAATCTGAGTTCCGAATCTTCTAGCAGCTGTATGAAACATTTATGCATTTCTTCCATACTTCGCTCAGTGAAGATGGCTTTTGCATGTCCAGGTGTTACGCTCACAATGCAGGAATGCGAGGATTGCCCTGAGCTATTGATTCCAAAAAGAAAGTAGACAGTTCTTTCTGACAGAGTTGGACACTGATACTTCAGATCCCTCTTTGACTTGATCCATGAACTCATGAAGGGCCTACATGTAGCTCATCCTTCATCAAGGCTTCTGACTGTAGCTTGGCAGTCATGGCAGTATTATACTTGAAAAGTGTCTCTAGCATGTCTCTGCCCACTTGGAGGTTGAAATAAAATAATAATGAAAAATTACAACAAAATTTACGACTTCTTTTCTCATGGCCTTAGTCTAAGATTAGTCCAAGTTCAGTTCAACTTGAGGTAGAGGCCTTGGCCCTAATGATCACACATTACACATGTTACATGTGCAAACACGCCAAAGGTGACAAAAGCACTAGTTGCCGATGAAAATTGACTACACAGCTTTGACAATTGGGTATAACAGTGTCATTGTTATGTCACAACTATACCATCATAGTTGGGACTTTCCCAACAATCATGACTATAGTGCTGTAGTCGTGATAGTTGGTCCGGCCCAACTACAGGGCAGACACGACAGAGGTCCAGTGTGCATGTGCCCTGCATGTGCCCAGCATGTGCCAAAGTTACCCCCAGAACTGTTGGGTCCAATGTCTGCCCTGCTCCCACGAACAGGAGTAGGCATGGCAGGGCGGACGTCAGACTCCACAGTTCTGGGGGTTGGTCTATGCCAAAGTCATATTGTTTACAATGTCCTGTGATAGCTGAAGTGCTGTAATTTAGATGAATTGTGTCAAGTGTGAGATGCATTAACTTGGATAAGGTTGAGAAATTTTCTATAGAACTTGGTCAACATAGTTGGGCCAGCCCAACTGAATCCTAGAGGGCCTGCGTGGAGCGTACTCCCAGAACTGTGGGGTCCAACATCCGCCCCGCTCCCACGAACCTCACAGAGACACAGGTTGCGGACAGGCAGTGATCTTTGTCCGCATCTACGTGCTCACATGCACTGGCACCCAATGGCTGTTGCCTGTCGTTCCTGCAATTCGGACTTAAATTATGAGGAACCCTGTGATTGGTCACCTTCAGCGTGCCGCAACCGACTGCCATTTCAACCAGCGCGGCTAAGAATTACACACACACCTATGGAAAGTGGCTGCAGCCAGTTTCCATGTCTTGTGTATCAATCGCAGCTGTAGTCAACCATTCAGTTGCGACTCGTCACATGTAAACTGCATGACTCTCGGACACTGATTGGGAAAAACTGGCACCCTTTTTTGTAAAACGGCATGGTTTTGGCCCTTTTTTTTCTTGGTACTGTACTCAGAATAAATGTATGTAAGCTGTCTTTACATATAACTCTTGGTGGAAATGGAGCAGTATTTCTAAGGGTACACAATTAGAATAAAATCCCTGTTCGTGCCCTGTTAAATGTCAAGCTGAACCTACGGCAAAAAAGGCTCATTTTCCGTGGGGTTCATGGGGGCGGGGTGGATGTAGGGCCCCACACTTCTGGGGGTCGTGGAGCGCCCTCACGGAGGACATGTCTTTGTTCCTAAGTATGTGATATGCTTGAGTAGACACTACATTACTTCATTGTCATCTAAATAACAAAACACGTCGTCTGTGCTGTGAGGGTGCTCCATGCAGGCATGGCAGGCCCAGACTAGTATGGGCCTAGTTGGGACTGTCCTAGCCCAGGTTGGACGTTGTCTTCCCACCGTAACGTACATGTACTGGTACGGTCAGGGTGAGCATGCCTGGGCTAGAACTGTCCCAAGAACCTGTCTAGGACCATATCGTTTGTGAGACAGTATAACGTTAGTTGGGGTGTAACATCATCATTACCTTCTGCACTCGAATAGCGTCGTTTTCGTCCGCAATGTCTCGCTTTCTTTTCCCCATATTTTACACCATGCAACTACTACGTCGAACTGGTAACTCGATTGCCTCAATCTGTCAATGCGTAAAACTTTCGCAACCACGTGCACAGTAAATACATACGTCTGGCACCCCGCCTTCTCTTCAATTTTTTTGTATTGAAACCAGTGGTTATTTTTGACGCCTTGAAAGCAATATGTTACGGCCCCGACGGGTAACCTCTTTCTCAGTTGAATAGCAGCAAATATTGTGAGCTTTAAAACTGGATGTGCTGAGTACGAGGTTGTAAATGCAGAGGGTTTTTTAAACTGACTCTTCAGTCTCGATTTCTTTTGTAGCTTTGCGATCCGAAAATGTGTCATCAACGTTTCTGCAAAAGGCAGATTTAATTGTCGGAAGCCGAAAAGAGGTCTAGAGGTACAGAGTTAATGAAATGAAACCCGATGAAATCCACAAAAGAACTTGCAAGGTGAGCTTTATATAATTTCGAACTGTTGACAACTGTCTAAACTCAACTGTGACTCATCACACTCACGAGTCACAGTCATAAGTTCCAGAACTGTAAAAGTGTAAGGTTTATAGATAGCTATGTACAAACTCGCATAAACTCATTTTGGCTGTTTTGATTGTGCCAACTTACTCTGCCATCACAGCTATTTCAATAGTATTTGTGCAACACGATTTCACCCATGCCTAGCCTTCTTGGTGAGCATGGTGAAGTTAGACGTCTGACCATGCTGATGGGGAGGTTTATTCACTTTATCTGCTTATATCCTCATTAAAATTGTGAAAGTCTTGAGCATTTTGCTCAATCACTGTCAGCTGCATGACAGCTTGACCAATCACAACACAGCTCCTACACCTATCTTTTCCTTGTTTTCCTGACCACATCAAAAAGAAAGCAGAGCTGTGATTGGTCATTAGAATGGAAGCAAATTGGGCCAGTCACAGTGTGACTTTCATATGTGGGTAACAGGAAAACATTTGAAGGAGGATATAAGGTGAATAAACTTCCCCTTCAGACATCTAACTTCACCAAGAAGGCATGTATAAAATTTTGTTGCACAAATAGCTGAGTAAATTGGCACAATCAAAACAGCCAAAATGTGTAAATTGCAAGTTTGTACATAGCTATCTTGAAGGCGGGTTTGTATAAACCTTACGGTTGTGGAAGTACACAGTCATGACAGACAGTATGGAGCTAGTCTTAAACATGTTAAACACAACTGACAACCCAGTGTGTTGTGCCTTACAGTTTCTGCAGATATCTACTACCATACCAATATGCTTGGCTGACATACATGTATATGTATTCTTAATTCAACATTTTCAGGCAGCTGGGCCTACTGAGACGACATTCAACCTCATTAAACCAACAATCTCGAGATGTTAGGAGAGTCGGAAAAACGAGTGAGTTAATTCAACTGTCATGACTTCACAATCTCAAAAGTCTGATTCTTAGAGATTTGAAATATAAGAAGTGTGTCAAACATCCGGCACAAATTCTCTCATATTCCAAAAGTGAAATAAATGTCAGCCTAGTCTTGAGTTTCAAACGTCAAATTGTCTAGTTTGTTTTGTAGTCCTAGTTCATAAAGTCTTTCTTACTGAGTCTATTTGTGTTGTGAGTAAAAGAGTAGGAAAACCTCAAAGTTAGTAGGAAAATTACTCGACTTCTTCTTTGGCTTACACAAATTTTGGTGAATATTTTGATAAATAAAGGGTGACTATACTGTACATGTAGACCATATGATGTCGAATTTTTTCTCTACTCAATCTTGATTATGACATTAGCAGATCTAAATGTGACATACATCCCCCCAAGTGAAAGTGTTCGTTTTTTTCTGTTTAATTTTTGAAATGAAAGGCAGTTTTTGAGCCTCACCCCTGAGAAAGGCCATCAAAGGGAAAGTTTCATAAAGAAACTCCAGAAATCCTTCCTAAAATATAATTCTCCCCCAAAACACCTTCACCCACCCATTTGGATTTACCTTTGTGCTTGCAATCTGTTACACGTACAGTACACAATGGCACTGTTGATTTCACTTAATGCAAACTCCTCAGTTTCAACACATGTATTTTTGCACAAGGGTCATCTGGCTTTCGTATAAAATCAAAATCTTCCCCAGCAAATCAAAGCAAATGTCTTATTTTAAGAAAAATTTGTTCATTTGGTTTTTTTTCACACAGACCAGATTTTCTCTTACTTGATTGTTATTGATTTTGAGTCAACTTGCTGGAAGGACAAGAGAAATGTTGGCCAGGAAGTCAGTGAGTACAGTGACACAGTATTTGTTGTGATGTCATTGCCTGATTTCATTCTAATTCATAAATAGGCAGGTAATAAATAACAGCAGCATCAGCTTATACAGCGGAAACATTGACAGCGGTGGCTGCCAATAAAAGCCACAAATGTAGAAGAAAACGACAGCTGTAATAGTCACAGAGCAGTTGCAGCTCTGCCAGACATACAATAAATGCAAGAACAGCAAAGACTTTGGGGGGAGTTCTGGTTAGATCATGGGTCCAAAGTTTGTTTGCAGGGGGTATGTTAGGGTAGGATCACCTGGCAAACTTGAATTTCTGTTTGTTTTGTCCGAGTATAGGATTTGTATTTTTGTTGTTTTAATTTGTAGGTTTTGTTGAATTAATTAAGATTGTTGTTGTTGTGAGACATGGATTGCCCTGATAAATCAAACACTGGTTCACTGACATTTGCCCATGTGCAAATCACAGCTAGTCATTAGCCATATTTGTTTGCCAATCTGAACTGGAAAAATGGCGTCTCTGTGGTAACCTCTTGTTGGTGCACTGTATCATGAATCACTCGCATTCAACAAGACAATAACAGCAGCGGTAATGGCACAGATAACTTCAGTAACAGCAGTAGCAACTACAGCTACAACGGCAGAACAAAAGAACACTGCCGGTGTAGCTGTAAAAGTGGTAACCATGGCAGCAACATCAATGTTGACTTGTAGAATTCGGAATCCAGGCTCTCAGTCCTTTTGCTATAATTTTTTTTATTTTGACCGTTTATGTCACCTTTTGACAGTTGAGTTCCCTGCTGTTCTACTTAATACTTCTACTGGCTCCATTGAGTCTGAGTTCCACACCTATGTGCTCCCTGAAGAGAACCCACAGCTCAGTGCATTCTGTACTGAGCTGACTGGAATTACTCAGGTAAGCATTTTAGAGGAACAAAGCAAACTCATAGCCAATGACTGAGCTTCACACTTGGCAATGACTAAGATTCACGCTTGGCAA